TCACCCCGAAGCCTGCCCCTCCCTCTGGGCCTGGCCAATGTCAGGGACCGGGCTGGCCACCCTCCCTCCCCAAGCCCGGCTGGCGTCTTGGCTCCGCAGCAGCGGAGGGGAGCGCAGAAGGCCACCGAAAGAGGCCACCATGAGCTGCCTGGGGTGAGTTAGGGGCCTGCCCCTTGCTGGGAAAATCCAGAGAGGAAAAAAAGTTGTTTCTAGAACCGAACTGGTGGTGGAACGGTGTGCTGCTGCCGAGGGCTCCCTGGGGAAGGGTTCCACGGGCAGACCCGCCGCTCCCCTCCCCACCAGGGCTGAGCCGGGGAGCTGGCGCTGGGCTGTCCTCTGTGAAGTTGGCAGCGTGTCTCCTGACCACTAGGGCCGGACTCAGCTGGAGGCCCTGGGGGGCGGGGGCGGCTTATCTTCCCAGCTGGGCTGCTCCCGCTTCCCTCTGTCTCTTACCGGGACCAGCGTCTGTCTGCCTCCTGGGACAGCCCCCGTCCCTGCTTTTCCTTCAGTATCTGGTCCCCCAAGCGACAGACAGCTCTGGCAGCTGGTCAGCAAAAGCCAGATTGAGGGTGGTGCCCCCTTGGCCATGCTGGATTTTTGCCTGGAAAGCGGGAACCCTGGACACCTGGGGATGCCTCTCCCGGCAGCATTCCTGGTGCTGATGGGGAGGATGAAACAGCAGCCTCTGTTGTCAGCTTGTGTCAAGTGCGACAAGAAAATTGGGGAGGCTGCTGGAGGAAGGGGCGGCACCCAGCTGGGCTCCGCAGGGAGAGGGTACCCTGGCTGCATGGCTTCAGTCACCCTCTCATTTCCTCCTCGCCACTTCTCTCCCCACACCCACCTCATGTGGCCCCTGGGCTGTTGCCAGGGATGCAGTGGTGAGCCCCAGGTAGCACCTTCTAGAGAGCTTTGAGGGGGTATGTGATTTCAAGAGCCAAGGGCACCCTAGGATGAACTCAGCATGGGACAATCAAGGCAGGCTTCCCTGCGGAGGCAGCATGTGTCTCTGCTGTGGTTTAGTGGTGTGGAGGGTGGGGAGATAGTCCCTAAAAATCCAGCAGGCCATACATCTAGCCACAGAGGAGGCAGGGGTGGTACCATGCAAATCCCAGGGAACCCAATAGGGCCAGACCCTGAATCACCCTGCATGGGGGGCAGGGCCTGAAGACCTACAGCTATTTCCCTGGGACACACTCGGGAGAGAGATTGCGCAGCCATAGCTAGATGAAGGGGCTGAGAGGGGGAGGTGGGGCTTGTGCTCAGCTGAGGCTGGAAACTGCCGCTCATGATAGGGTTACTGAGGGAAGGCTTGGGAGAAGCCCAAGGTGGTCAGGAAGCTGCACCCTCCTGCACAGCAGATGCTGGCTATTTTAAATTCAATATTAAAAATCAATAAAAACAGCTGATTAAATTAATAGATTCATGATGAATATAAAGTTAATAGATTAACTATGAATATAAAGTTAATAAAATATATAAGCTGAAATGTTAAATTCCATTTGCCAGCCTCACTTGCCACAGGTCAAATGCTCAGTAGCCACAAGGGACTAGCAGCTACCACATGGGACATAGTACATGTAGACTATGGCCAGCCATGGAAAGTTCTCATGGACAGTGCGGAGGGTGAGATTTGGGTCAGTGGCAGCAATGTGAGCTAACAGCCTCCTCCTCCTTATAGCAGCAGGTGATCCTGGGCTCAGAGCTGAATGTGGGTCTGTCCCAAAGGGACCCCAGTTTGATGAAGTGACAAAATTACTTTCTAATTAGAATGGTTTGGAAAGCCAGCCAGCTCTAGAGTAGGCTAGTGCTTCAGGAAATCTACAAGGGGCAGGGGAGGTGGAGGAGGGGAGGCAAGGGGGTGGTGCGGAGCTGGAATCTGGAATCCCCACAGACCCAGCTCAACCCCTAAGTCGACTCATTGGCTGTGCAACCTGCAGCAGGTTAATTGACCCCTACAGCTCATCTATAAAATGGGTTGGTCACCCTGTGTGTTCACAGCAGGATTCTTGGTAATCACCTCAGTGCACACAGCCAACTGCAAGCAGTAGAGAGATTAGTTGAGAATCTGGAAGTAGGGTGTGAGGGAACATCTGTACCCCATTCATGCTCTTCTGCTTTAATGACAGGTATCAGGAACACTGTTATGAGGAGAATTTCATGAAACTTTAAGTGAAAGTGATAGGCATATAGTATGTGCTCAGTTAGTGTGTGTTTCTCTTAAGGGAACCCCTTTTCTCCCGAGAGAGGGTTCTCCAGCACGGCACTGTTGACCATTCTCTGTTGCTGGGAGCCAGCCTGTACTTTATAGGAAGTTTAGTAGCATCTCTGGCCTCCACCCACTAGATAGCTGACCCCCCTCCTGGTCCAGTTGGTCATCTTGTGATAACCCAAACTGTCTCCAAAAGGTACCAAATGTTCCTGATGGACAAACTTGCCCCCTGTTGAGAACTAGTGTCCTGGAGCAATCTGTCTCTGCAGCACCCTTGGATGAGTCAGGAGCTTCAAGGAGACGGGCGCTTACATCGTCCCTGCGGTCTTAGGTCCTCTGGCCAGATGCACCAGCTGTGGATCTTTTCCGGCATCTTCACTGTGCTGGACAGACCTGGTCCGGGCAGCATGCACACTGCTGATGGTGTCTGGATTTCTGCCTGAGCATCTGCTCCATGCTCATACCTCCCGTGGCCACAGCGTGACAAACAGCCTCCAATGCTGGGCTGTTGCAGCTGGTCCAAAACAACTAGAAACAACTCTAGCAGGATGGGGTGGCCGTGGCCTTGCAAATGCCAGGGAGCGATGCTCTTTGTGACAGTTTTCAGATCGCCCTCTCCCTGGCAGGGCTAAGGACAAGGCCCTGGCTGTTCATGGCAGGGGGTAGTGAGGATTGGGGGGAATGGAACAGGAATGGGAGGCTGAGGTGTACTGGGCAGCATGGTCTGGACACAGATCAGTACCAAAGGCCATCAGGAAGTCTCCAGGGTCCTCCCTGTGATGGGCTGTAGGAACCCCCAGGCAGGGCCGTGCAAACTGTTCTTCTCAAGGACTGAGACAGAGGTCAAGACCCCAGGGTTTCCTGCAGCTGCCTGCCCTTCCAGCCTGTCTGGGTGGTAGCCACCTCCTGGTGAGGAGAGAACCTGGTGCTAATGTCCCCCACTTAGAGTGTCCCCAGGGGCCCCTCCCCAAGCTGGCTCCCTAACAACTAGTGCCCTTTTCAGCCAGGAATCAGACCCTTGAGAAATGATAGTGTAGTGGGGTCCTTGGCACTCTGTGTGTGTGTATTGGGGGGAGGGAGGGTTCTATCTGCTTCTGGGAGTGGCAGGCCCCAGGGCCAGGGGAGGAGTGTGGACCTTTCCTATGATCTCCCCCTCCAGCCCATAGCTGTCCCTCCTCTCTTCTCTCTCTGCAGAACATTCCTTTCCAGGTAAACCCCTACTCCTCTGCCTCCCTGCTCCCACTCACCTGGAAGTTGCCAAGACTGGCGGCCCCTCCTTATGTCCACTCACTCACCTCATCTCATAAATGCGACTTCCTCTGTGTTTTTAGAGTCAGGTCACTTGGCCCATTCCAACAGGTCCTTCAGAATGTCACCCCTCTCCTGGTGCACCGGACCTCTGGGGTCCTGTACCCCTCCTTAAGTCCTTAGGCCCTCCCATGTTCCCCATCATCCTCTTGGTGCAGTCTCAACGGTCGCCTTGTCTTTCAAAGCTTCCCTTCTAGCCTTTCTCCACCAGAGCTTTCCCCTAGGTAGGGAGAGGGCTGGCACTTGTTGGCCTCTGCTGAACCCTGGGGCCCGGTGCAAAGCCCACCCCTTCCGGAAAGCCTCCCAGGGCTTTACAAAGCGCTCTCAGCCGGCGGGGCTGGGCTCGGAACAGTGGCGCTCAGTCTAGCTGAGCCAGTGGGACTCGCCACTCTGCGTGTGGTCAGGGCGCACCGGCCTGTGAAGTCCCAGGCGTGGTACCTGCGTGGGGACAAATCTCCAGAGGGGGTCTAGAGGAGGCAGTGCAAAGACATCCAACCTCCCCCAGCTTCCAGCGAGCAAGCCTAGGGTCCCCCAGAGGGGAGGAGCGGGGCGGGGCCACCCGGGAAGGGGCGGGCGCGGGGCCGCGGGTTGGACCAGCTCGGGAGGGGCCACGCGCTCTCGCCCGGCAGAGGCGCGTGGAGTCGCGGTACCCCATCTCTGCTACCGGGCTCGGCCAATCCCTGCCCGTCGGCACCTACCGCGTCGCCGTCGCCGGCTCCAGATGGGGAAGGACCAGGGCTTCTCTCGGCACTTTCGGTAGTTTCCCCACTGCGTCCCCGGAACCTAGCGCCCTGTGCGCGGCGGACCCGCCTCCCGCCAGCCTGAGCAACTGGGTGGGGCTAGAGCATTGAGGGGGCTTCTCCGTCTGGGTGGGCACCTGCCGAATCTGGTGCGGGCCCAAGAGCTGGGGAGGGCGGAAACTAACTGCAAGGGTACAAGAGGGAGAGTTCGCGCGGGGCCCCGGAACTTGCCGGACCCTTCGGGTTGAGATCTGGGTCCAGGATCAAGAGCTTGAAAAGCTCTTTCCTATGATTGGGCTGGTTTGGGGAATTGCAGAGAGTGAGGGAGAAAAGGTGGTGAGAAGAGCGAGGATCCTAGGACCCATCCTGGTAGGAATCTGGAGTTGGATTTAGACGTGACTCTCCAGGCAGCAAGGACTGACTCTGAGTGCAGAAGTCATTGTGTGGCCCCCTTGAGGTGTCCTGAAGCTTGGTTGGCCTACCTGTCAGGGTTCAAGGACCACAAAGGTTGCTGAGACTCCTCTGGGCTTGTCTGTGCTAGGTCTTTTGGAAACAGACCCAGAGCCACATGAAGGCTGGAGGGAGCGGGGAAGGATGACCAGGCAGCCTTGGCCTCTGGCTTGGCCCCAAGGATATCACATGGAATGGGTCACCCAAGTCTCTTGCACCTGTGCAGTTGGTACTAGCCCTGGTTCTCACCGGGGGCAAGGCCTTTCTCATTGCTGCTGGAGGGTGGAGCTGGGAGGTCACCTGGCTCTGGCCCAGACTGGACCCAGAGTTTGGGGGGTGCTGCTTTCAGAAGCTGGGACTGAGGCCTGAAAATTTGAAGTGGACCATTTCAGGCATGTCATGACCTCTTTCCCTGGGCATGTGGTGGGTCTGAGAGGGTGTGGGGGACATGGGAGGTTGTGCAGGCCAAGCAGAGGGAGGTGTCAGTCTCTGGAGACCTTGAGTGACCATCTGGAGAGGGAGGCTGAAGCTGTAGATTTTTGAGAATCACTGCAGATGGGCAAGGATTTGCATATCAGGCCAGGCCAGGACACTCCTGGCATTGCTGAGCAGCAGGCCATTCATTCTGGCTTCCTAATCGCCTGGAACATCCAGACCTGGAATAGAGCTCATTGGGCTGGGGGTGGGGGCAGGGATACACCCCTCCTCCTGGATGTTCCACATCCCTTCCCACCAGGCAGTTTATTTTGCTCACCCAGCCTTATTAATCCTACCCACAGCGAGCAGAGGAACTGAGTAGGGCCAATGGGTGACCTCAGAGGGGTTGTATTTCAGCTGGCTCTCCCCTACCCCCCTCTCCATGCCCTTGCACTGTCTTCTGGTATAAACAGGGACCGGAGCCTTGGGAGGGAGCCAGGGACTCGCTAGCAGTCCGAGCTTCTCAAGGATCCACCAGAGTCCCATCACCATGCTAAGGCTCAGAAACTGAACTTGAGTCCCAGTTGTGCCAGGGGCCAGCTGTGTAACCGGTTACACATCCTCTCTGAGCTTCAGCATCCTCTGCCAGGGACCAGGGGGTCCGCCAGGACCTGGGCCACTGCTTTCTCAAAGGTGGGATTAGGCTTCGTGCAGACCCCATTGGGTCGCTGTGAGTCCCGTGTGCACTGGTCCGAAGCTGAGTTAATGAACTTAGCCCTCAGAAAGCGTCTGGCCTCGAGGAGACCCATGAGCACCAACCATCATTCCGGGCTGTGGACTCCACACAGGGCCATGCCACCTCCCCGCCTCCAACCACTCTGCTGCTAGCTCCTCTGAGAATGGGAGCCATGGTGTCTTCAGTCCCTGGCCGGCCCAGATCGTAGGGGCTTCCTGAAACATGGCGAGTTCATTGAAGGAAGGCCAGTGCTGGTGTTGAGGGGAGCCCCGTGTAGCTAAGAGAACAGAGAGCGTACCAGAAAAGGGCAAAAGCACATTCTGAGTTGGCAGCTGTAGGAGGGCTGGCCAGAGAAGCAAGTGGGAGCACTCGGGGTATGCTGAGGATATGGGGGAGTCTGACTCTGGGTGGGTGGTGGCTTCAGTTATCTCCAGAGGAGCTGCCTGGAATCATGCCAGGAGGAGGTAGGTGGCGGATCCCAGGCTGGTGCGGGACTAGCCCGACAGGTCCTGACATGGGGGGTAGGGGAGAGGCAGGAGATGGGGAGACAAGGCAGGTAGAGGAGTGCTTCCATGAGTTAGCTGTCACAGGAACTGAGGCCCCCCGCAAAGACTGGAGTAACTGAGTCACTTGACCGTGACTCTCCCAAGGTGGTCCTTGTAAGGCTGATTGGGGAGCAAATTAGGGCACCCAGGGGAGACTGATTCCCCCCCCCACCGCCGCACCGGGCGGGGAAACTAAGGGTGGCCCCACGAACAGGATCACTATTTGCAGCGATCCGGGCGCGGTCAGGGGGCGCGCCCCGACTCTGCGGTCCTCACCCTTAGGATCTTCATCCCCAAGAAGCACCGGGCGCGCTTCGACGAGGTGGTGTCGCAGGGTCTGCTGGGCAAACTGTGCCGCGCCCGGCGCGCGCAGGGAGCGCAGCGGCTGCGCCGGAGCCGCAGCGAGGAGCGGCC